ATTAACATTTTTATGTTTTGTGTTTAGATAGTTGTAATACATATGTGTATTTATTTCAAAGCAAGTCTGGTCAGCATACCAGCCCCACTCCTGAAAGCAGCCACTATTTTTTATTGACACATAATATTTTACATATTTATGGGGTACATGTGGGTATTTGTTATATGCATAGAATGTGTAATAATCAAATCAGGGTGTTTGGAGTTTTCATCACCTTGAGTGTCATTTCAGTGTTGGGAGCATTTCGAGTCCTCTCTTCTTACTACTCTAAATATACGATACGTAGTCACCTTCCTCTGCATTACAGGGTATCCCAAAAGTTATCCCTAAAGTTGCTACGCATAGGGAAAATGGGGAATTGCAGCTAAATATACCTTAATTGACAAAATATTCGTTACAAAATTTGACAAAGAGGTGACTAACATGTAGAGAATATTTTGTAAGTATTTCATCAAATTTTGTAGTGAATGTTTTGCCAATAAAAGTATGTGTAGCTGCAATTTCCCATCTTCCCTATGAATATTGGCAACTTTACGGTGACTTTGGGACGGCCTGTAGAATATTCCCTCTGCGTGTTTGTACACATTGACTCACTTCTTTCATTTCCTGCCCACCTACACACCTTTCTTGGCCACTGGTATCTATTGCTCTGTTCTCTACCTCCATGACATCAAGTCTTTTTAGTTGCTACATATGAGTGAGAATATATATTTGTCTTTTTGTGCCTAGTTTATTTCACTTAACCTAAATAACCTCTGGTTCCACCCACATTGCTGCAAATGACATTCCTTTTATGGCTGAATAGTAAGTTTGTATAGCTACGTTTTCTTTATCCACTTGTCCTTGATGAACAGGCGGGTTGATTCCCTCCCTTTGCTGTTGTGAACAGAGCTGTGACACATGTGGGTGCACATATCCCTTTGATAGACTGATGTCTTTCCTCTGGATAAATACCCAGAGTAGAATTACTGGATTGTATGATAGTTAGGTTTTGGAGAACTATCCGCACTGTCTTCCAAAGTGGCTGTACTGATTTATATTCCCACCAATAGTGTGTAAGAGTTCCCTTTTTTCTGGCCTTCCCCAGCATCTGTTAGCTTTTGTCTTGTTGATAACAGTGATTTTAACTGGGTTACATGCTATCTCACTGTGGTTTTGATTTGCATTTCCCTGCTGACAAGTGATGTGGAGATTTTGTCATACACCTCATGACTGTTTGTAAGTCTTTTGAGAAGTGTCTCTTCAGGTCCATTGCCCACTTTTTAATGAGTTTTTGAGTTTTTTTGTTTTTTTTTTTTCCCCTGTTGATTTGAGTTCCTTGTATCTTATGGACATTAGTTCCTTGTCAGATAAATAGTTTGTAGATAATTTTCTTTGTTCAACAGTTTGTTTATTCACTCTGCTGATGGCTTCCTTTGCTGTGCAGAAGCTTCTTTTTTTTTTTTTTTTTTTTTTTTTT